TTTGGGATAGCGCCTGGGGGACATACGGTTTAATGAATTTTAGGATTACCATTGAGGAAGTGCTAATTGCGGGTTTCCTCCTGCTGGTTATGAGTGGCCTGGTCCTGTGGGCCAGGAAGATACTCATGGTTACCCATGCAGGTCATGACTTTTTCGACCTTAGGAGACCTGCGGTATATTGCTTGGTATCGCCTTGGTGCAAGAACATGTACATCAGACAACAAGTCTAGTTGCAGGAGAGAGGTGGTGGGAACACATTCGGTATACCGAGACTGGTAACAATGGACATGCCCCCAAGCGATACTCTCTTTTGCGAGTTTTTGGATGGCAGAAGTACCTTGTCCTCCCTATAGCAGGGGGGGGTAGAGATGGATAGCACGGGGGGGTAGAGATGGACTGCAAGTTCTAGAGAAGACTCTCATTTATAGGTTTTCCCCAGCACTTAATATGGTCGGCTGAGGTGCAGGGATGAAACATAGGGCTAGACTCGGTATGAAAGAGAGAAAGAAAGGAGAAGTGCCTGCACCAGCGTACAGGAAAGGGTGCTTGTCTTTTGTACTTGTGTACTTTAGTCTAGCAGAGCTTTTGGAGGAAGCGTTTACAGCAGGGACAAAGGTGGTGAAATTCGCGTCATCCGGCGGTGAGGTGTGGGGTGAGAAGTGGTCTGATATTCGAAGGAAGTTCGGAACGTCAATTGTCACTGGTGAAGAGGTGAAACTCCCTCTGGGAAGGTCCAAGCAGCTCCTAGATAGAGGAGGCGCATTCTGAGTGTCGCCAATTGTGAAGACTGTGAGCGCAAGGTGTAGAGGGAAAGGTTACCTTCGACTGTTACTTGAAATGCCGAGGAAGCAAGCGAAGCTTAAGTACTTCGATATAGCTAAGCTAGTCTTCCTATACAGATGTACTAGGGAGTTCAAAAACAAGGCTACAAGAAGGACCTTGAAGGAAAAGATCGCTGCAGTGATCAGAAAGAAGACCGGAGTGAATATCAGAATGAAGGTCAATGTGGGAGTGAAGTATAGCCATCAGCTGAGGAAGAGGAAGATTCATGACACTGTAGTGTTGTGTGTAGACAAGAGCAGAATACACTCTTGTGTTGAAGACAATGCTACGACGCTGGGTGAGAGTGGTATGGAAGAAGAATAGGACTGTCGAACAGGTCCTGACCAACCATTGTAAGGCAATAAGGTTGGCTAGTGTGCAGTGTACTTGTAGCCATGATCAGCTGTCGAGAATGGAAGGACGTGTTAGCACGCATTGCGCAATGCTCCGTTGTTCCCGCGTTCTTGCAGAACGGGAAGAATATACTGCAGAGTGATGCTGATGCAAGACAGGTAGAAGTGCAGCAATGTTGGACGATCCTTGGAGGCTGTCATGAAGAGGGACCTGATCCAGATGGCAAACCGAGGCTATTTTCAGGACAGCGTCTTCAACCATGCAGGATCAGATTGGCGTGCTCAGAAGAACAAGCGTGTCAGCTAGCAGCAATGATGCGCCACTTGGTGGTGGTCCCAGTGGATAGGAACCCGGACGACCTAGAGGTCATGTGTTGTTCGATGTACCACTATGGCCTTCGGATGATGTTCAATCTCAATGCCGACTACCAGCAGGTTCAAGAGAAGTCCGAGAGTGAGGTGCGAACTCTGGTGAAGACGGAGTTCAGGAGAATGGGCCTTGACAAGATTGGGGCCTGGAATCCAACAGCCAAGCTTGGGCAAGCGTATGTCTTGCCTAAGCATAAGGATCTGACGAGGTGGAGGCCCATTGCGCCAGCGTGCACGGAGGGTTCAAAGACCGCGGGGAGGCGACTATCTCGAGTACTGAACTTGTGCTTGAGAGAGCGCCCAAAGCCAAACGCTTCAACCTCAAGGCTACGACATTGCTGAAACAAAATTTGGAGATGGTGGGACGAAGGCCGAGTATTTTCGAGGAGAAATCGATGGCCCTGATGGCTAGCTTTGACATCAAGGAGATGTTCACGTTGCTGCCGCACCGAGCAATTGCCCAAGCCATTGATTGGCTGCTGCAACAGTGGGAGATGAAGGGCGTTTTCAAGCTGAGCCTTAGTATTATAAACTCGTTGGGCGCTGATCAGAGGCTGGTACATGGGGTCAGGTTGGTGGATGATGTCACGATAGCGGTTGCATGTGACATGTATGACCATCGGAGTATAACAACATCGAAGGGTATATGTCAGAGTTTTGCGAAGACATATGGGAAGCAGCTTGTTCTAGTACGAACTGATGATGGTTCCAACTCCTGGGATTTCCTGGGGACTAGGCCTGCAGTGTTACCAGGCCCGATCAAGTTCGTTATCTGTCCCAGGCATAAGAATGAAGGGGTAACGCTAGAAGAACCCCTTACCTTCAGGTGTTTCCAAGACTTCTCTTCGTATTCAGATAAACGAGCGAAAGCAGGCACGGTGATTGCTGCTCTTCACAAGACTAAGCAACATGCAAGCGACCCAGCAACAGGAGTCCCAGCGACGCTTTCCATCAGCATTGAGCTGAAGCGCCGGGGGTATCCCCCGGCGCTCTTTTCCAATGCTCTGGCAGCATTTGCCAGGGGCACCGATTCGTTCGGAGCAGCGTTGAAGACGCTGACCGAACAACTGGTTAAATCATTGAAGGGTAGACCCCCCGAGGGGGACAGAAGAGCTGCGATAACTGGACGAGAGATGCAAGGGGGAAGGATGTGAGAAGCGGCATGCAAGCAGCCATGTACAGTAATGTAGATAGACAGAGGTAACCTGGGAACTGGAGTTGCAGGCCCCCTAGCGGTAGGCCCTTTAGGACCGGGTTGTACATTAGGAATCGGAAGGCAGACCCCACCCTGACAGTGAGCACTGGGTTGTACACTAAACACGTATAGGAAGGATAGGTACCCAACAGTCGCTTGTAGGGAATACGGGAAAAATTGGGAAGACGAGGCAGGTGTAGGAAGTAGTAACTGGTACCAATTGTATACTAGCTGGTGAGTAGGCAATAGGGGCTAGTCCAGCGTCATTGGGGCCAGTAGGGTTGGAATCGGTTCAGTGGTGGGTGGGGCGTTCAGACTGGCATGTACCTAGTGTGTAAGTCAGGCCTGGTACGACAAAAAGTTCAAGGCCCCAAATGAGCCTGCTTCGCAGCTCAGACTTCTACCACCGGCCAGTACACGTGCAGATTTGAATTCCTTCCGGGAGGAAAAGCGCACACGTGAGGTTGTTGGGAAGAAGAGGCTTGCGTATGTGCACACCAGGTCAGTTACAAGTGAGCGCAGTCGGCACCCGCCCAGCCAGTTGCTGTACTCGAGCCACCAGAGTGCGGATGTGGAGGCTGTACCAGCTATATGTTCGGAGGCTAAGGCCAGAACAGCCCTCTTTGCTCTGGGTGGATTGCTATGGTGGATGCGGGAGTGTGGTTGCCCCTTGATAAGTCCTGGTGCGCAGCCAGGCGAAATGCGGCGGGGAATGTGTAGGTGCTTTACTGCTCCTCATTGAGAAATGGATGCATAGCGATTGGCCTCGCTGTTTCAATTCCATTCTTCTTCTTCTTCTTCTTCTTCTTCTTCTTCTTCCTGGTCTTCTTCTATTTCTTCTTCTTCTTCTTCTTCTTCCTGGTCTTCTTCATCTTCCTCATCTTCCTCGTCTTCGTCTCTTGTCGCGGCGGGTGCTTTGAGTTCAACTATGGATGTGCAGAGGCAGCCATTACGTTCTTGCCGGTGTTGATGCACCTTCGTTGTCCCAGTTGCCGCTTGCGCCTCTGCCAATGCGCACAGCTATGCCTGGGCCAATACGTGACGTTGTACACCCAGATTGCATAACGACGATTGGGCGACCAGAGCCTGTATACGATGATCTCCAATGTGGGCTCCTTAGCTCTCTTCTCGGGTATGAAAGGGGGAGGTTTTTTTTTTTCTTTGGGTGGGGACATCATAGTCATGCGGGCATGTGATTCTGGCAGTGCTCGCAGGATCCGTTCTCCTGGTGTTGACTTGAAAGTACGCGGCCCCTGGAGTTTTCTCACCGACGGGCATGGATGGCATGCCTCCTCGTCTTGTCGTCTTCTAGCTCCGTGGCGTGCACTTTCTGGCTACTCTTGCTGTATTTACTTCAGTATTGGGTCCTCTAATGATTGGTCTTTTAGGAGCGCGGAAAAATGACACCTTTAAACCACAATTTTCAGAAAGAAACTATGTAATAAATGATCAATGATAGAGAATATAATTTCTGGGGAATTGGCGAGCGGGTGGAAGGCATTCCAGTGGCCACAAGTGTCCCATAAGACATGAAGGCTCTGCTCTTTTATGCACCCACCCATTTTGAGATGTGAGTCATGCTTCCTGCCAGCATTGATTATACCCTGAAGAGCAGGGGATTGACATGCGCAGTGTGAGTTTGTGGGCTTATGATCAGCAGGGGGGTCTCGTCAGCCCTGCTGCTGGGCGCCAGATGCCACTGTGGCCTTCTAGTCCCCCTCCTATCCTTGCTGAAAGCAGCTTTTTGCTAAACCCCTGCAGCTGCGGACTTGTAGTCCCATGCTGCTGGGCATCAGATTCCTCTATGGACTTCTAGTCCATCGTAGTTGTCTAATTCTTCTCACCCCTGTACCAGTGCCGATCCACCACGGAGAAAGGGGGGGGGGAAGGGTCTGGGAAGTCTGAGAGGGGGAGGAGTGGGATGGAGGTATCAATCATTGTCCAGTCATGGACTATAAGAGGCGGTAATCCCGAACCAAGTCCTCTTAATCACCCCCCTGTTCCCCCTTTCATTCCACCTCTGCAATCCATCCTCCCCAGTCCCCCCGCCCAACCAGGCTTTGCTGAATTCTTGGCTGGCGGTTGAGATGTCAGCTTTAGCATGTAGGAAGGTCAGTTTGTATGGTACCCATTATTAGTGTAGTACCAAATTTTGAAAAGTTCCAAAAATTGGGGCCCCGGAACCCCCAAATGGCTCGTCACTTAATCCGCACAGAAAGGCATGCGGAACAGATCTTAGCTTGTCACAGCTTGCCCTAACAAAGCGCAGCACCCTCACTAAGTGTCAAATCATTCTGTCCAATTTTAGGGGTGAGTGGGGGAAGTAATAAGGTGAGGGGAAGGTATCAGCAGTGAAGGCGGACCATCCCTAACCATCTGCTGCACTCTGGTGGTGTTCTACTTTGTCCAGCCTTTTAAGTTTGAAGTTTTAACTAACTCAACAGCTGTTCAGAAGGCAGTCAATCCCTCCTCGTGGGTGGGTAATCAATGCTACGGAGTCTTAAACTTATATGTTTTCATTTGGGATGCTGAACCCGTTTCCCGGCGGGTGTGGCTCTTCACAAATAGTCGGGAGCCATCACCGTGGGAATTTTTTTGTGTTTTTGTTTCCCCTCCCCCCCAAAGCACCGGTGACCTGAGACCTCTACTACTATTGGGGGGGGGGGGAGGATATGAGTAGCCCCACCGTGGGAATCTTCTTAAGGAGGCTGCTCTTATCACCCCCATGAGCAGTGGCCCATTGACACTTTCTTCAAAACAAAACAAAACAAAAGTTACAGAACAAAAAAGAAAAAAAACAGTATGTCTGCAATGTGTTCCCGATGGTACTAGTCTGATTTTTCATTCCCGTCTTCTGTTGTGCTATGCAGTCTCCCTACTCTTTGGAAGATGTTGACCCCAACACCTACAAGCCAGGCTACAATTGGATCTAAGCTTTCCATGCTTTCCTTTAGAGATTGCCGATCTCTGGCCTCAGGTGCAAAAGCTGTGACGCCCACTTCTACAGGCCGGCCAAAGCCCTCCCCAGTACCAGTGACGGATATTCGGTCCAAGATTTCCCCCATCTTATCCAATGGTAACGATCGGTTTGGCCTCAGGTGTTCAAGTGCGGGTGAGAAAGACCACAATCGCAACAAGTGAGAGCAGTTTTCCCTGTCTTGCCTGTTTTTTTCTGCCATTCACTTTTATTTTTATTTTCAACTTTTTCCTCAAAAGTCTTGTCCCTCCCTTTTTTCTTGCCCTGATTTTCTTTTGCCCCATTCCCATACATTGTGTTTAAATTTGTCTCGGTCTGTGTGATCTCCTCATGCCAGCCTGACTCCCTTTTTCAAAACACGCGACAATCCTTGTTTGTTTCTCTATTTTCTCCCACATTTTTAAATCCACATGGAGTTCATCCCTTAGGCCAGCATCCATCCCAAGGGATGCAGGGCTAAGGGCGATATATCGTCAAACAGAACTGCCCGGTTTAGTCGGTGAAATGCCGACGAATAAACAGTTTGTCACAGCCCCACGTTTGTTGTCCTCTTCTCCCTCTCTGCCTACGTTTACCGGCCAGCTCTGTTTGGCCTCTGTGTGTGTGTGTGTGTGTGTGTGTGTGTGTGTGTGTGTGTGTGTGTGTGTGTGTGTGTGTGTGTGTGTGTCTGCCTACGGTTTACCGGGCAGCTCTGTTTGACGATATATATATAATATAATATATGTATA